TCTGGATTAAAAATGTGTTTGTTTCTCCGGGCAGAAGGCTGATTGACAAGCCTAGTGCTACCCAGGCTAGAATTTGCTAAATCTGAGAGCATACTGAAGTAAAATGGTGTTGCAGCTAAGGCATCCCTGAGGCTCTCACAGCTCTAACAGAGTGGACAATTCTTTGGGTTTTCAGTTTCTCTGTTTTATTAAGGTCTACAAAGGTGACCCTCTAAAGAAACAAAAGATTTCTTCTGAAAGGATAATCAGATTCTCAGAGTAATATAAGGAAGCCATCAGACTTCAGCGGTGCAGAGATCCTTACACACTGCAGACTGGCTGACCATCTTCCACTAGTTTTTAGCATGGATCTTCTTTTTTGTAGACAGGAGTTTTTAAATGCTCCATCATGTAAGTGCAGAAAGCATCTGTGTGTGTGTGTTTATGACTGTCTCATTCTTTTCCCTTTAAGACTTTTTACTGCCTGTTTATATGGGAGTTACGTTAATGAAGGATAAGAATTATGGTGTGTTTTGTTTCCTTGCAGGGGTCGATTTCTCTTCTGATCCATCTTGTCGTTTTGGTACTCATACAGTAACCAGATCACAGACTTCTCAGTATAATCATTATTGCTTTTCTCCTTAGTAAAGATCTTTTTACAATAAACAAACTGCAGGCATGCTAATAAAGTCTGTATAGTTAATATTTAAGAACTTTCTTGTTACATCCTAATTTTTTTTTTTTTACAATTTTAAATGTAAGAACGCCATACAATTTTCTCTGGTTCTAGCATAGAGTTTCACCTTTTTATTACTGCGGGCATCAAACCTGTATAAAAACAACCGAAATGTCCACCCCAGTGGAATTGCTGTTTGAATTACTGAAGACACCATTTTAAAGTGAAGGAAGCGACACTGAAAGAATTTAGAAATTGAATCTGTATGTATGAATTTAGAGAAGTTGACTGGAAACGAGTTTAAAACAACCCAAACATATTTTGAACATTTCAAATCTTAAGGCGACCTGATCGTATTGAACTTTGTGTTCTTTTCTTCATATTTTTCAAAAACATGTATATTATGGTACAATTTCACAGTGATTAAAAGGTGGAAATTTTAGCCTACAGAAGCAACTCAAAGAACTTTATTCATTGTCATCCACACTTGCTTTGGGCAGCATTAGACAAGCTCACGGGCATGTCAGCAGAACCTTGCAGCTCTGTGACAGATAGCACTGATGGATATGCTCTGCTGTAAGCTCAACAGTGAAAGGGTGACTTTGTGATGTAGGTCAGTCAGAGGACGTTTTAAAGGCTTTGACTGGTGTTATAAGGAGCTTCTAAATAAGAGGACGACTGCAAAAGAAAGCATGGATGTGCGTTAGCAATGCTATGTAGGAAGACGATAGTCTGGGCAAGGTGAAGGTGAGTCCATAGCTTTACAGTGAACATAAGCTGACAGGTATGATGGGGAAGAAGTGTAAAAGGGATTTTTCTTTCTAATGAAAGGAAAGTAGGATACAACTGATGGAAAAGAAAACTCGGATGCAGAAGAAATGGGAATTCACAAGGATGCACAACATAGTCCAGAGCAATCCCTGAAGGCTTCTGAGTGTGCAAGAGTGAGAAAAGATTTCACATGTGGTGTTTAGAGGAAAAAACACTGCAGTTTCCTACTCTGGACAGAAGGAGAAGGAAGTCTGGCTTTCTGCTCACTCGGAGAGATAGAAGAGTATTTGTTAAGAAGGGAAAGCAGGAGGGAGCTGGGTGTGGTGGAGAAGGGAGCATCTAAAGCCTGTCTCATTCTCTGTGACCAGTTCTGCCTGTGCAGGCAAATGTCCTATTGAGTCCTATATCACATCTGGTAGCCACAAGCATGGCAGTAAAAAGTTACCAGTGCTAGAAGACCTGATGGTACTACTGCTGTACCACTTCTTACGCTGTGACTGTACAGGAGGGATGCTTCCAAACCACTAAGATAATTTTTGAAGAGAGGGCTTTATCTTCATCTAAAATGTCTTAAAAATTCAAAAGATATTCTTGATTTCCATGCATAAGAAAACATTTATTTTGAAGAAAGATTGCAAATATTTGTTAATGGAGATCTGTACTGAAGAAATTTCTTGATTGTGTTGCTATTGCTCTGTGAAATGTCAGATCCTAGGAGAACAATTTCCTTGCCAAAATGAATAAATAAATAAAAATAGACTGCAAAAAATGCTAGCAGGAAGTCTGAGAAGCAGAAAAAAAAGCCAAAACTGAGTTTCTGCTATGGAGTTTAAAGACAGTCTTTTCATTTGTTCTCTCTTTTAGCTAAATCGCTGCTTTTCTTCACTGTCTCACACACAAAACAACCTGCTTACCAAAGCCACATACGTTATGTGATTCAGAAGTTGTAAAGTAGAGACGATATTGATATTGATATCAATGACATGAAACCAGGAGGCTGTTTTCCTTTCATTTTGGCAGGATAATAGTTCTTATAAATGCTATTTTAATACAGAATTCTGTACGCGCTTTATGTTGCAGTCTCACCATATGTTACATAAAATATTGCAGTAAACTGAGTAAGCTGCAGAGTATTATGCCTCATTTTCTTTCAAATATGAATAAGGGAGCAAATTACGACAGACTTGAAGCTGCAATTCGATATCTTGTTCCAAAGACTTACACGAAGTTGTTCTGTCTTTTCTGTGTGGTAGTCTTGCTAATGGTGTGTGATAAGCTAACCCAAAGTTATATAGAATCACATCATGATATTGAAATAGCACAATTCTTTGAACTCTCCACAGAAATTTATACTCACAAGCAAAAAAAAAAAAAACTACGCTCACTTCTCTATAAAAAGTATGACAAGTTGTTTTGAAAGAAAGTATATGGAAAGCATAATAAATCCTGAATCCTTAGGTGAAAATGGCTGAAAAAAACCCACATGACTTTTAGAGACATGGCTTATTACCAGAGAAATTTTTACTAGCCTATGGATGACACACTTTTCTCTAGACAGAAGAGTGATGAATGGAAGTACATTTGAGTAAATATTAAGTTACTCAGAATAGAAAATTACTGTGGAAAGTGAGTATAGCCTACCTGGGTCCTCCAGTGCAATAGTATACAAGTAAGCTTTACTTACTGAAAAAATACAGGTCAGAAGACAAGGAACATATTAGCTATCTATAATTAATACAGAGTGAATATCAATGATTAAGGGTAGCATCAAGGCCCCTGGTGCAAGCAAGCTGCTCTTCAAGACTGGATTTAGAAGTAGCTTACATTGTAGACATGTTAACCAAGTGCTTTTCTGAACTGGGAGCAAACAGTAACACATTTAGGTCAAACTTTCAGAGATATGCATCCAAATTGCACACAGGCCTACGCACATGAAGTTGGCTTTGCAGACAGTGCTGTAGAAGTCTTCTAGAGAAACAGGTCTGCAGCTGAGGAAAGGACTCTGTGTACATTTCCATGCATACTTTGCATTCTCCAATTTGCAGAAGAAGCTGCTGGTGTGCATGCAACCCAACACCCACCGTGTGCAGTGCCACCGTGCTCCCCATGCGGTGCGTGGTCCTGCTCCTGCAGTGTCCCTGAATGCAGGTCGCACGAGGTTGGCTGAAAGCCCTTCACAGAAACACAGTCTGCAACATTTGCAGGCTGGGGCTGCTGCTGTGCCCGGTGAGCTAGGGAATAAATCATGTGTGCACCTGAGGATTTGGGTTTGAATTGCTTCAAGAGCAAGTTTAACTTTGCATGCTGGCATTGTGGACTGCAGACATTCTCAGGAGCCCAAACCCTACTGGAAGACTGGGGGACTCCATTGCTAATCGTAATGGATCTTTTGCAAAGTGAGAAACCAGAATGTAGGTGGAGCCCTGAGGGCTTGCAGCACGCAGTGGTTGCCTGCTCAGTGCTGGAGCAAACCAGACTGCTGCCAAATGTCTGAACAGTGCTGCTACCCTGAGACCGACCCTCTAGACATGAAGGGCTGCACTGAAGCCTTGCAAGAAGGCCTGCTCTGTGAGAAGGACGTCTGCAGGCTGCTGTGAAACATACTGAGTTACTGTTAGAACTGTTTCATAGCAGTAAATAGATGCTACATGGTTCTCTTGAAACTAGTAGGTTAAAAAAAAAAAATAAATAAACCTTTTTGCAACTACATGGTGATAAAATTTTATGGCATTGTTTTCAGTGTAGGAAAAATATTACATCTCAGATTTTAAAACAGCTCTTGCAATGTGTTAGCAAAAGGGAGAGTTTTCTCCTGGAAAGAGGCTACTGTGTACACCACAGTTTTGAAGCTACCAGCAGAAACAAATAACAAGCACTTTCTAAGCAGTGCTTGAACTGGAGCACTGCTATACTTTCAATTGTAAGCTTGTTTTGCTTCCAGAGAATAACGAATTCCAAGAAAAGGAGACAGATTTGTCGAATGCCACGTGCTTTCTGCCCTCGTCTTTGTACTTTGTTTTGAAAAACAATGATGAAACGTTTGGTGTGCTTTTTTCTTCTGAAGCAGTCACTCTCCTCATCATGAGAAGTATATTCCAAACTGGAACAAAACAGAACTGAAATCTCTCAAGGCATGAGAAGTGACTGTGACCGCTGAAGCGCCAAAAGGGAAAACTGTCCCTTAAGGTGTGAGGGATGCCGTCTTTCTCTCCTCACCAGTCCAGAAGTTCCCGTATGTACTATAGTGCACTCCGCCTGCTCCTCTGCTCCAGCGGCCGCAGCCCCCTGCCCCACCGTGTCTTCTCCAGCCCCCACAGCCCAGGTCCGCCTCCAGGCTCACCCGAGGGGGCAGGGGGAGGCGGGCACGTAGGGAAGCGCCTTACCCAGGAAGGGGGAGCCTGTGGAACCGAGAGCCCCTGGCTCTTCTCCCCAGAACGGGGCATTCCCCACCCCTGCCTTGGGCTCTCCTGCCACTCCTGCCCTGTTTGCTACATTTGGAGGGAAGCTGGCCCTGCCCCATATAAGAGCCCTGCGGGGGGCCGGGTGTGCCAGAGCGGTTAGGGGGCTGCTGGACATGCAGGCCAGCGGGGCTGCAGGAGCAGCAGCGGCAGCAGCCGCGGCAGCAGCAGCAAGCGAGAAGGCAGCAGCGCGGACCCCAAAATGCTCCCGCTGCCGCAACCACGGCTTCGTGGTGCCGGTGAAAGGCCACGCCGGCCGGTGCCGCTGGAAGCAGTGCCTCTGCGACAAGTGCTCCCTCATCGCCGAGCGCCAGAAGATCATGGCAGCCCAGAAGGCGCTGTGGCAGCAGGTGCCCGACGCCCCTGTCAGGGTGGCTGTGGGCTCCGCTCCCTCAGGGGAGGACGTCGCGGCCGGTGCCTCTGAGCAGAGCAGCCACGTGCGGGCGAAAGGCGGCCATTCCGCCGTTGGCAGTGACAAAGGCACGGCACGCAGGGGTCTGCCGCCACCACCTGCTGGCCCTCCCTTCTGGGACTACGGTAAGGCTCCAGCTCCCTGAAACAGGTTCCCGCCTCTCCCTTTCTTCCCCCAGCTTGCACACGATGGGTGCGCAGCCTTGCTTTTGTTTCTCCTTAGGCAGGGTTTGCAGCATGATTCATCAAGCTCTTTTGTTGCGAGGTTGAAGCTCCAGCGAGTGGCTTTTCTCTATAGGGTGCGCTTTGGGAGATAATCCCAACAGCGTTGGGATGCATGCACATACAGTGCTCGTGCACAACCTGCAGAAAGAACAGGAAAAATGCTAAAAAATAGGATGTCAGGGATGACAAGTAAATGAGGAAATTACGCTGCAGTTGTCTAAAGCAAAAGTTTTTGATAGTGCAAAAGAAAGAGACTTTTTGGCCTTACAGCAGAGGCTGAGCTTGGCTCGGATCACTGGGCGGAAAGCTGCATTTTGCCTTCATGAGCAGAACCTAAGTTTTGCAGGTGGAAAAGTTGTATGGTTTGTCACTTCTTCAGTTGCTTTCTTCTGTAGAGCCTTTCATGTCACTTGTCTAGTTTATTACTATTTATTACAGTAAACTCATACTATTTACTATAGTAATTTTACAGAAATCCTGACTGACTGCGGTAGTCATTAGTCTGGGCCTCGGGAAAGCTGGCAGTCTACAAGGCAAAGAACACAGTGGTCTGAGAAACCCAGAGGAAAGAATTGTTTGGGGCATGTCTGGATCCCACCAAATCTGCTTGTAGCTGTTTGCTGTTTTTCTTACCTTGGTTTCCTAAGGAAATGATGCCTGTAGATGGTGCTGGCTGTACATGTGCCTACCAGTCCTTCACTTAATTATATTTGTAACCTGCTGACTTTTCCAGTGTAATCATAGTGCTCCAGAAGCAGATATGCTCTAGAAGCAGATTATACAGGTTCTCTACCAAAAGGAGGATAGGTAGACAAGAAGGACCTTATTTGTGTTCACATAGCTGCTCTTTTTTTATAAAAAAAATCACAAATTTGTGAGGAGCCAAGCATGAAATCCAAGGGCCAGAGTCTCCAGGCTAAGGGTAGAGTTGAGTCCTGCAATTACTTCTGCTGAACAGCGTAGAATTATAGCGATGACTTTATTCTTTTCTCATTGTTTCCTAGCTCACTCTGCTTTTCCTCCAGAATACAAGGTCAGCACAGAATACATGGAGAGAGACCCTGCAGGAGTGTATCCTGCTTGTTCTGGGATGTATCCTTACCACCCATTTCCCATGGGATTTGCCATCAACCAGCCAGGCTGTAAGGGAGCACCATCACCTCCAGGGATTTCACTTCAGAAGGGTTTCCGACCCGTTCCAAGCAGCTCTGGACCAGGGAATGCAGCTTCTTTGTCAGTGAGTAGTGCCTTGTGGTTTTTTAATTACTTCTGGGAATACTGCTGGTTTTGCTTGTACTAGAAGATCTTTGAAGGTCCCTTCTTATTCTGTTCTGTTCTATTCTATTCTGTATTTTACTTTTAGCTACCTCTGAGCTGCATATTTCACTATGCGCGGGCTTTGCATGTGACAGCATATGGACACAAAATTGACCCTCCAGAAATGGAAATTTCATAGGTAAAGATGGAAACAGAAATTGTGTGGTAGTGCAGATGTGTCCTGGAGAGAGAGAGAGTCTCTGAATATCCTTTGCTCCCTGTGTTTCCAGATTCCAGATGGAGGTGGAGATTTCCATCAGGCATACTACACTCCTCTGCCTCAGTTTGTCCCACCAACTTTTCTGCCAGGGGTTCATTATATTCCACCTCCCCTGTCACTGAATGTGTTTGCTGAAGCAGCCAAGGAAGCACACGGTAAGGAATTGTTAGACGAGCCTTGGGAGATCCAATTTTAATCTGGTTTCAGTACCTAAACGCTGAGATGGATGCCCCAAGACACCTTGATTCTAGCTTCAGTTTTAAGGGTTTCCCAGATGCCTGTGGTGGAGCCAGGACTGAGATCCCCCTGAGGTCAGACTGCCAGCTTGGACAGCTTAGCATGAGCAGTGTGAAACTTCTTGCACACTTGGAAAGCCTACATTTTAATTGCTGTAGATGAAAGATTGAATCTTCAAGATCTCAAATTTTTCAGACTGAATCCCACAAGATTTTAAATTTCTGGCTAGGTAAATATGTATGACCTCCTCTTTTGGGTCTCTTTCGTGTCTAGTGCCTATATGTGGACATACTGTGATCCTGTCTGTAAGCTGTTCATTTGGCTGCAGCTAGCAGTGACCACAAGAGGGTAGTGCTGCCCAGAGAATTAACCACTAGCACTGGATGAGTCAATGGCCAGTCTCATAAGTTCTTTCTGAAAATGCAGATAAATAAGTACAACTTTATTTCTCTTCTTGAACATGAGAAACTGTAAGTCCAACTGCTTATCACACAGATTATAATCATCAGCCAATGAAAAATGAAATATCTTCTATAAAAGGGAGGGAAAGCGGACTGATTTTCTCATTTGAATTAAAATGATGTTGATAGCGATCACATGGGATAAAATATAAGTTGAGGAGGTTTGGGCCTGATTTCTCCCCAAAGTCTCTTGTGCAGACTCATTTCTGTTAAACCAGTATCCTCGTAACTTTTCAGGACATTATTTTCAGCCAAACATAGCTGCTGTGATCAGAGGCCTGCACAGTTGATCTGCAGGGGAAGCATGTGCCTGCCACAGAATGGCTTGCAGCCATGACGTGAGGTGGTGTTTGGCCAGCAGTCAGCTCACACTCAGTTCCTGACTGCCGTGTGTGTACCTTGGCCAACAACCAAGCGCCTGCCAGTCAGCCCAGCAGTGGGCACGTATCTCCCAAGCAGTTTGCTTTGTGTCTGTCTGGAAAGCCAAGGAAAAGTAAGCAAGAGAAGTAGTGGATGAGGAGAATGTGAATATGGAAGCATCGAGGTGTATAGACATCATGTAAATGTAAAGATATTCTAGGATATCGAGAAAGGCATCAATCAGAGCTTCAGCGCAGTGTGTAGATACTGGGCTGATGGAGGTAAGATAATATGGGCTGAGTTTGAGGGGAAGAGATGAAGCTGAGAGCTGGCAGGCAAAGCAGAAATTGTATGTGAGGATTACTGAGTTGTGTGGTTTAGTGGAGATGAAATCTGGGGGATACTTGCAGTGGCAGAGAGCTTGTAGCAGTTCTGGGGTGGTGTGGGAAAGAGGAGGAACAGGGAGTAGCTGGTAAACTGGAGAGAAGTAGTGGCATTGCATGTGGGAAACAGGAAATGCAGACCTGCATTGGTAGAATAAAGCTTTACTGGGCAAACAATCGTGAAAACAGGCAACTGGGATAAATGAGGTAATGAGAGCACCCCCCTAGAGAGCAAAATGCCATCTAATGACTTCAGTCTTATTACTCACTAGGGAAATTACAACCCGGGCACAAAGCCATAGGAATCAGTGCATCATGGATTATGCTGTTCAGAGAACAAACTAGTCTTCCTAGTACCAGGGAGAAAGTACAAATTAATTCCACTACATAGTATTTTTGCTCCAGGATATGTAAGAGCTTGCAATTGTGACCCAGTGAAGGAGATGTTTCTGCATGAGGTCATAAACAAAACAGCCTTCCAGCAAAAGATACAGATGAAGAAGAAAGCTACAGTGAAACTACCAATTCTTTGATTCTGGTTTTCAGGATACCTGAACAAAGAGAAAAACTGTAACATTAAGTACATAGGGACATGTTAGGGTCACATCATGTCTTTTTTCTTAAGAAAGGAAGTGTAGGGTGTTGTGTTGTATAATTTCGGGTTGTATTGACTAGTAGTGTTACAAAGATCAGACAAATAGAAGGTATGTCCAACAGAACAGCCAGTACAGTATTTGAGGATAGAGTCTGACTGCAAGTTGTTGGCTTTGTAAAATAGCAAGCTGCAGAAAAGGAAACAAAAAACCTATGTCTCCACATGGGAAGATGAGGGAGATTTACGTGAAAATTGGCTAGTAAAAAAAACTGTGTTTAAAAAAAAAAACATCGTAGATAGATTCAAAGAGACTGTTGGTCAGTCAGTGAAGGCCTTTAAAATTCCCAGCAGTGTTCGTAAGGCATGCTGCAGGTTCACTGTGGCTAAGCAGGCAGAAGAGCATGTCTCATACTTTTATTCCAGTGCAGCTTCTGTATTTGCCATCTTGAAGCAAGCATTCTTGCTGCTTTCCTTAAGCCTAGCTGAAACAGTCAAGTGCTGTCTGAAGTACAGCATCTCAGATTGGAGAGCAGCAGCTCTTGATGTTAAGCAGTTTCCAATTAACTGCACTGAAAAATGAACTGGATTTACAAAAAGCTATTTTGCATTGGGAGTTTCTCTCTGAAAGTGTGACTGACACCTGAAAGGCAAATTGAAATACAGGGATTTGGATGGGATTTTTTGTTTGTTTGCATTTAACTCCAATTCCTATTTCCTATTCATTTTTTTTTAGGTCCTGCAGCTGACAGCCAGGATTCAGGGATGGTTAGTGAACCTAGCCAACCATCTTCTTCCCCAGAAGAAGCAAGCAGAGACCAATCTGTATGTTCTAAACAGTAAATAGTCTGGAGAAAAGCTGAGTGGCAGGGAGCACTATTTTCATTATTGAGGAGAGTGTTGTTAATATGAGGCTAGGGTGACACTTAGTTACTGAGCAGTCACAACAGCTAAAAGAAGGAGATTAATGTCTGCTCACTTCATGATCATGTTAGAGCTACCAGCCTCACAGCTCTGCTCCCTGGCAGTGTAAAACCCTTGTTTTCACTGCGTGAAAGAGGTTTTCCAAAGCCAAGGTAAATTGCATCCCCCTTAGGCAGATGGAAGCAGGAAAGAATTACGACTTTGATTTCTGGTTTCTTTGCTGAAGTTGGATGGCTCCTTGATTTTTGGAGTGAGGTCTCCACACCATGTACACTCTGTGGCCTTCTCACGTTTGTGACAGTAATCAAAAATTGCTGTGTTGTTGGTGTATCAGTTTGCTGTAGCAGAAACTCGGTTCTGAGTGTTATGGAAGAGTTAAGTGATGTAGAGCCTGAAGACTGAGAGAGAATGGGAAGACAGTATGGGTTGCTGATAGGTAAATCAGGCTTCAGGATTTTCAGTGCCTTTGACAGTTCATACGTTATTTCAGTGCTGTTTAGCTCAGTACAGCTGAAACAAACAGTACAGATTTTTTAAAGGGTTCACATAGAACAGCTTTGTGCATGTGGATTGGAAGTACACTGGCATATCAAAGATGTGATGTCCTAGAAGGTAGGACAAAACACCACTTAGAATACCAATTGGTCAAGACTATACATATCATAATTTTCAATAATACTGCTTAAATAAAAATGAAAGATGCATTCCTCTGCTGTTTTGCCTAAAGCAACTGCTTTCTGTGTTAAGCGGATCAATTGTTAAAATGTTGGAAGAATGTTGGAAGAATGTTACTTCTGGGTAATTAAAAAACTTTGAATTGTTGGTTTGGTTTTGATGATTTGAGGCTTGTATATTTACATGTAATTCTTCCAGGCAAATTTCAGGTGTTGCCCTGAGTAACAAACCTGCTTGAAGTAAGATCCAGGTTTCAGTATTTTTATTCTGAAACTTCTGAGTGTAGATGACCACTACTGTGGTAGGTGCTACTGAAGACCATAGAGGTGAGTGCAATAAAATAAACATTCCTCTCTGCTACTTACACTAACAGTCCCTTGCTCAATGCAAGATGTAAAGACATGAGGCTGATAAATCCCTTTTTAATCTAGCAGATGGATGATTTTCAGCACACAGACAGGATTTTGGTGAAAGTAAAAGTGGCAAACTTAAGACTGCCAAGAGGAGTGACTGAAAAACACATGTATCTATACCAAATAATCTGGCATACAACTTGTTACTTGCTAGATTTACAGCAGCATCTGTGCTCCCAGGAGTATCCCAAACCTCTTAAAACTGCTGTGTTTGGGAAAATCTGAGTATTTCTGCAAGGTGTTTGAATGGAGCAAAGCTCTTTTTAAAATAAAACAATCTCTGAATAGAAATACCAGCAGCACTCGCAAAGTAGATACCTTCTTTGGTAGCTACTTTGGTAGATGGAGTTGTGTGAGTTTGTTTTTTTTTTCTTAATATATCTAAGATTTAAGAAAAAGGATTTAAAGAAAGAAGACAAACAGTTCAGTAGTCTCCTACCCAGTTATTTTTCCAAAGTCCTATTCAGCATTGTATTGCACTCCTTAAACCTCCAAAGCAGGAAGGATTCCAGCCCATTTCACTGGCTGTAAAGCACAGGCATTGCAGATACACTTTATATACACTACCATCTTCTCCCTGTGTTTCTGTGCCAGTGATTGCTTCCAGACTGTCAGGCCAGGCTCCTTATTCTCCTTTTCCGCCACCTTTTGAACTGTCATTGAACCAAACTTTTTGCTGGTAGGGCACTCTAGTAGGATTTCTCTCATTGCATTGCTACCCACCAGTGCTTATCTCAAGAGGGACGTGGCAGATTTAAAGAAGACCTAGAGAAGGTCACCTGACAGAACAAGAAAATGGAGCAGTTGCCTTACAGGGAAGTTAAAAAGGACTTGCATCATCTTATTTTGGAGAGGAGAAGGTTGGGGGGGAAGAGGTGATAGAGTTTTAGAATATAACAATGTGGCAAAATAGATGCAAAACCATTACTAAGACTGTTTCCAGACACGTGAAGGACAAGGTGACTTGGGATGGGGCAAATGATACCTGACCAGGTATCATTTACCTGGTCACATACAGACTGTATGACTGTTACATACAGTCTGTAATAAAATGATACACAGCTACCCCAGTCTGAATTCCTAGAGGTGGACGGTTACAAAGAAGTAGAGTATTAGCAGTGGGGCAAATGCTGTTTCAAATGTATGAACATTGCTCGGGTTGGTGTTGTGTGAATAATCAAGTTTCAGATTTTTACATTTTGGGAAATTTGTCCCAAAGTTCTTTTGCATCTGTCACTGCATGGAAAAGTCAATTACAGAATCACAGAATTGTAGGGGCTGGAAGGGACCTCTAAAGATCACTTAGTCCAACCCCCTGCAAAGCAGGCTCCATCAGCCAGGCTGCACAGGTAGGCATCCAGACAGGTCTTGAATGTCTCCAGAGAAGGAGACTCCACAACTTCCCTGGGCAGCCTGTGCCAGTGCTCCATCACCCTTACTGGGAAGAGCTTCTCGTACACATTTGTGCAGAACTTCCTAGGCCTCAATTCATGGCTGCTTCCCCTTGTCCTATGGCCACACAGCACTGAAAGCAGCCTGGCCTTGTCTCTGCCTGCTGCACCTTAGATATTTATAGACGTTGGTCAGATCCCCTCTGAGTTGTCTTTTCTCAAGGCTGAACAGACCCAGGTTACTCAGCCTTTCCTCATAAGAGAGGTGCTCCAGGGCCTTTATCATCTTTGTGGCCCTCTGCTGGACTCTTTTCCAGGAGATCCCTGTCTTTTTTTGTGCTGGGGAGCCCAGAACTGGATGCAATTACTTGGTAAGAGAGTAAAATGCGATATGTGCATTTCTAGTTGACAGGAAGAATTGTCTTATACAGTATATGGATATGACAAGCACTCTTTCTTCATTTTATGCTGTTTGTCCTTTTTAACCAAGGAAAAAATACTCCTTTACAACTGCTATTATAATGCTGTTCACTTTGGGCTTCAGAGCAAAAAATTTTCATTCCAAACTTAGTGCTAAGCAATGTTTCCAGAACCGTGATCTCTTCTGTCTCCACTTATTTAAATAAACATCTCAGGATAATGAAATCAATCCGGTATGAAATGAATAATTTGGATTGGACAAGTCATTCCTGTGTTCTTCTGACCTAAACTGAAGCCGTGTAGAACTTGGGCAAATTCATAAAATGTGGGGAGAAAAAGGAAAGCTAGCTATGAAACCTGCTTTTGAAATCTTTCTGTATGCAAGGTGCTACTCGCTGCAGTAGGAATTCTTCATGTCATCATTATTATTTTCGGATTTCTAAGGATTAGACTCCCTTGCTAACTCTGAACATCTGAAGATACGATTTCTAACAGGTTACACTTGCGACAATTCTCTGTCCTCATGGCAAACTCCGTGGGGTTTGTCACAGAGCAGCCAGCTTTCGAACGTACACTGAAGGTTAAAACCTAAAATCAGCAGCCAGGTCTTTAAGGTTTACTCATACCACTACTTTCATTACTTTCAGTGGAATTATTTGCAGGGGTATGGAGCTGACAGCGTTAGTTAGGTATGCAAGTTTGGGCTGCAGGTTTTGCACAGAGGTGTCTGTGACACTGTCCAAAACCTCAGTTTATTGTAGATTTGCGTTTTCTGCAGAAGCTTTGGAAAAAGGAAAGCAAACCCGAGGGATTCTTGAAGAATCACATAGTATGTCCATTCAGCAGGCATATGTAAGATACATTTGTCCCCCCACAGCAAACTGCAATATCTTAACATTTCTGTGGTGTGCTCTTCCACATCTGCACCACAGCAGGTTTTTGTATGACAGTGATAATAGCAGTCTTACTGGTGATTTGTTTTTATTCTTCTTCTTCTTGGATTTAAATGCAGCCAATTGCAAACCTCTGAATCCACAACAAGACTATAGCTGTTTTTTCCATATTAATAAGTAATTAATTTTGACCAGCAATCCAATAAAGTCAGCTTGTTGTAAACAAAAATCTCCCTCCTCCAAAAAAAATAATTTTCATGACAGAAAAATTATTATGTGAAACATACCTTCTTTGGAACAGTGGAAACTTAAATCATTCTTATGTGTAGATGGGTCTGGTTTTCCTATTTTTTGCCCAATATTTTCTTACTGCAGGACTAGCAGTAGCACAGATCTGTGTCCTTACTTAGCTTGCCAAAATGTAATAGAAGTATCCAAATGTAAAGAAAGACTTTATGGAATCTGTGCCTGAAATGAGTGTCACTATATGCTGTATTGCAGCACAGGCCATTGAGAGAGCTCCAGATCTGTTACAGATACTGGGCAGTGATATCCTGATTTGCCTGCTCAGGGATTTAACCTTCCTGGGTATCCTTACAAGCATGTCTTAGCAGACATCGGTAAGGCTTAAAGAGCCGAGGCAAGGCTACTCCTTGGGGCTGGGGTGGGAGGTAAAAGGGCAGTAGGGGACGTTTTCCACATTTCTCCTCCTTGACACTTCTCACCAGCTCTTCAGATGTCCTTCTCAGCTGTGCAGTGTTACTGGTGACCTTGCTAATGACTTCACGGAGTGATATCTGGATCTAACCATGGCTCTAATGATGGGCCAGTTGTGATCTCACATTCTCACTGAATCACAGAATGGCCAGGGTTGGAAGGGACCTCAAGGATCATGCCACATGCAGGGCCACCAACCTCCCCATTTAATACCAGCCCAGGCTGCCCAGGGCCCATCCAACCTGGCCTTGAGCACCTTGAACAGGGCATCCACAACCTCTCTAGCCTGTATTCTCTATTTTAATATAACATAATTTATAATCTTAATTTATATTTTGTCTTTAGTGGAGGCTTCTGTGGTTTCACTTACTAATTTCTTCCGATATTATATAGTGGTTAACAGCCACGTGCCTAGTTTCTTGGGAAAGCCTTCATAGATTTTTCAAGATGGGTGTTGCTTCTGATCATGCTAGAAATGGGCTGCTCTTCATAATCTTCCACAGTAAATTTTCACTTGTCTTCAGATAATTATGAAGTACAGACCCCGCAGACTTCTTTTCTCCAGGCTGAACAAGCCCAGCTCCCTCAGAGGTGCACCAGTCCCCCGATCATCTTTGTGGCTCTCCTCTGGACCCTCTCCAACAGCTCTCTGTCTTTCTTGTACTGGGGCTCCAGACCTGGACACAGGACTCCAGATGGGCCTCACAAGAGCAGAGGAGAGGTGGACAATCACCTCCCTGTCCCTGCTGGCCACCCCTTTTCTGATGGAGCCCAGGATGCCATTTGCACTCTGAGCTGCAAGAACACACTACTGGCTCACGTTAAGCTTTTCATCCATCAGAACATCCAGGTCTTTCTCTGCAGGGCTGCTCTCAAGGACTGCTCCTTCCATTCTGTATGGATGCCTGGGATTCCTCTGGCCAAGTGCAAAAATTTGCACTTTGCTGTGTTGAACCTCATTAAGTTCACCCAGGCTGACCTTTCAAGTCTGTTGAGGTTCCTCTGAATGGCACTCTTTTCTTTGATTGTGGCAACCACACCACTCAGCTTGGTGTTCTCAGCAACCTTGCTGAGGGTGCACTCAATTCTATTGTCGATGTCATTGGTAAAGATGTTACAGAGCACTGGTCCCAAGACAGACCCCTGGGAGATGCTGTTCGTTAACAGCCTCCACTGGGACACAGAACCATTAATCACCACGCTCTGTTTGACCCTCCTGGACTGGCCTTTCAACGTACCCAATGAGGATCTGGGGAAAGCTCAGGAAGATGGCCCTTCCTGAGAAGGGTGGTTGGGCTGAGGCGGTTATACATCATTGCGGATGCCCTTAGCCAGCTCTGTCCACAGAGGGCCAACCTTGTTCTGCTGTCTGCTGCCAACGAGGGCCAGTGTCACCTAAAGGAGAGGTGGTTTGGAACGCAGTACAGCGTGGAAGGTAAACAGTGGCTGAAACATAAAGAGTGCCTGGACTGTGCTCAGAGCAGCACAAAACACACCGCATGGAAGCAGGGGAGTGAATCCTCCACGGGAAACTGACTTTGTCATTAGTCAAGTGCTCCATCCTGCTCTGTAATGGGACTTTGGTATCTTTTGACTCCTGCTCCCTGGGTTTGTAAGTGTGAGGTGTTTTTTGTTAGCCACCAGCTTTGCTTTGAAGGTTGCTGACTGCCCAGAGACAAAATATCCCATCAAAATAGTGAGCACATGGCAAAGCTGCCTGTGGTACAAGAAGGACCATAAACTTAAAATCCCCAAAGGTAAATGCCTTAAGGCTTTCCTAAGATGACAAAGCCCTTGTTTTTACCAGCTGGAATTTGTTTGAAAGGCAGTAACTCATGCAGATCTTCACCATTTAAGCTCCAGTGTTTACTGCCAGCTCTTCTATGATCCTTTTGACACATTCATTGGCTGCAGTATGAGAGGAGCGGGTGAACTACCCTGCAACTAAGAAACACAGCAGATCCTTCAGGCTAAAAAGTGGAATCACCAGAACATTCTGAAAACGTTGGCTTCAGAGAGCCTGGCTATGGACAGAATTTGGCATACGGAACAGATGACAGTGGCAGGTTGTGAGAACAAAGAACATCACAGCTAGAGAAAGCTGTAGTCTCTTCTACAGGCAGAGAAAGATAAGAGTCTGCATTTGGGACATGTGTGGAAAATGTACTGCTCTTTTCAAGCAGAACAACAGGTTTTAGTGTCTGCTAAGCATACATTGTGTGGAATTTCCTAGAGTTGTTTGTTTGTATTGATAATGATCAGACCACGTGTCGAAGCATCCTATGAAGTATGGCTTTGTGTTTTCTAACAGTTGATATTTGTAAGGAAAGATTTGGGATTGAAAAAGAGAAGCATTTGATGATGACTTAATACAAGCAAAAATACTTCCTTATAGCTCAGTGACATTTCTCATTAGATTTGAATTGTGACCATGGAATGTGATGGAAAAAAGCTTTGCCTTTGGGAAGCTGTCACTTGCTATGTCTCACTGAAATCTCTCTTCCCCACCAGGTTACGTTCGTTTCCATCTGATCTCTCCATTGATACAGCGGTCTGCAGAGAAGTAAGGGCTGTGTGAGTTGTGCACGCTGTGTGGGGTAACCATAGTGCCACACACAGGGAAGTGCAGAGAGACTCATTCTGAGCTGGAATAGAATTAGACTTCCTTTCTTATTCATCCATTTGTTGCAGTTTATCTGTCCTTTGGCAAGGGTGGCTTTGCAGCAGGCCGTCACTGTAGCGGCTGGGTGTGTGTGGGTTTCATGGTGTGTTATTCTGCAGTGCAAACTGTACAAAATGTGCCAGCAGCAGTGTGTGTGCCAGAAGGAAGTGTTAGGGGAGGAGTTGGTCCTGCACACAGCACGGCCATGGCCCGATGCAGGGCCTTGGGGGCCTCCAGGAGCAGGTGAAGAGCACGACGACAGTGTCTGGAACCGTGTGTTGCACAGACTGGAGATGATAGCTCTGCACACAGTGCTCCCTTGCTAATCTTAGGCTGGCACCGCTGTCTGCAGCAGATTTCATAGCGGTCTTCTCCTGGCCTGTTGAGACCCGCACAAGGAGTGCTTTAGAAACGCCATGGGGATTTATGTTTTGCATTTTGAATTGGAATCCAGGCAGCAACAAAAACCTGGAAGTCTGAGCCAGGGCAGCAATGTCCACATTGCAGTCTGATTTGCTGTAGCTCATCAATTTCCGTACTGGTAAGCAGTGTGTTGTTGCAGTGCGCATTCCTGTGCCGAAGTAATCCTGTCACATGTGAAGCTGGAATCATTCCTTGCAAAGAACAGTTGAATGTCAAAGTAATTCTTAAGTCGTGCGTTTGGGTGAAGGGAGATCTGCACTGTGTATTTCCCGATTTGTTAAAATGGGCTGGAGTCTCATTTTGCCCAAGTTTTCATGTCTGCTGGAGAATTTCTTGTGTGTACATCCAAGCTGATTACCTGCAGTGTTCAAGTGTTCGTCTTTTGCTCTTTTCTCTGTGCAGCATAGTGTTGTTCGATACGTTTGTAAACATCCTTTCTCTCAACCTTGGTGAACCAGCTTACGCAGCAGACGTCGCCCAGCTGGAATACAAGCTGGTGGCTGGAGAGCACGGCTTAATCATTCGAGTGAAAGGATTCAATCATAAACTACCTGTAAGTACTAATTAATTTGCTAAGGAATTGTTTAGTGAAGAATATCAAGCAGAACTGAGGAATGTGCCTTAGTGTCTTTTATGTTGATCAAATGATTTGTTTCTTTTAAGCATTCTATTTGGAATAATTCCAAACCGGTTGTCTTTTTCTGAAAAATGGCTCCTGTTTTCTTTACAGCTTCTGTTTCAGCTCATCATTGATTACTTGACTGACTTCAGCTTTACTCCAGCAGTTTTTGAAATGATAACAGAGCAGCTGAAGAAAACATATTTCAATATCCTTATCAAGCCTGAGACTCTGGCCAAGTGAGTTCTGGGGCAGAGTAAAGGAGGCAGCACTGCAGTTGTTGAGGTTGAGCAAGGAGCCCAGAAAACACTGCTCTGTGCTGGTGGAGGTTTGTTCCAGGGCAGCTTGTGGCTCTGACTGCTCAGTACATCAAACTCGAGGCTCAGACCGGGCCTGCAGGTAGCTGCTATTCTGAAGCAGCCAGCAGCAGGGGCTGAGGCAGGGCAGGGTGAGCCCACAGTGGTGCTCTGGGTACTATCTGCCCATCTGCTGTGTGCTCCTGAGTCAGAAGTGGGATCACTTACATTAGGCAGCTCCTGGTGACTTGTGGTTTTGTTTCCCTTCTGTTTATTGCAGGGATGTGCGTCTCCTGATTTTAGAACATGACAGGTGGTCCATGATAGACAAGTATGAGACATTGACAAAGGGCCTTTCCACTGAGGCTCTCTCATCCTTTGTTGAGGCTTTAGAGGCATAGCTGTTTGTAGAGGGTCTCATGCAAGGCAACTTGAACAGGATGAAAATCACCCTGACTCTTGACTGTGGCTCTGTCCATAGTTTCATTTATCAGGGATGGCCTTGGCCATTCCAGCTCTCATGGCTGAGTCTGGGACACGTACAAAAAGCTGGTCCTTCCTGAGGAGCAGCTGCCCGTTGACACCCAGCGCCAGGCCTCCAGCTGGCCCTGTTGGCTTGACCTTTGGCCCTGCCACGGATGGGGCAGCCTCTGGGTCGGTAGAGTCATCTACTCTGATACAGTTACACTGGCCTGTTCAGAGGAGCCTCTAGGGTGCCCTAGAACACACTGCGGAGCTCTGGGGGCACTCAGGTTTGCCCTAGGGTACACTGAGGATCCCTTGAAGTCCTCCAGGACACCCTGGGAAGTCCGCAGGGGACGTGTGTCCTCCCCAGCAAGCTGGTGCCTGGGAGCAGTTCTGTAGGAGCTCCGTGGAGTAGAAAAACATCCCAAGGCAGTTGTTTGGGCTGTGCTTTGGGCCACAGGATTGTGTTAAGGGCTTGAAGTTATGCGGTGCTGAGTGAACTGTTGTCAGGAGTTATCCCTAGACCTCTGTCTGTGACAGAGGCACAGGCCCAGAAGGAAACAAAAGAGAGGGGGAAAAAAAAACCAGCTCACCTTTCACAGAGCAGCCCAGCCTGCCCCAGCCCTGGGACTAATGAGGCAAGGCACTTGCAGGCCGTGCGCTCCGGGAGAAGGGGAGGGGGGCAAGGGTAGGGAGATAGCAGGTGGGACTGAAAAAAACCACGGCAACAATCTCAGGAGGAACGGTGATTTACTAAATCCGACAAAATCAAGCAAATCAGGGAGAAAAGAGCGTGCAAACACGAGGTCTTACGCTAGAAGACTGCAGGTTTGGAACCACGTGCTTTTCTCCGCGGCGAACCCAAAGAGCAAAACAGCCAGAGGGAGAGCGGCTGCATCCTGCCAGCAGCTCCACCCTTCCTCCTCTGCACACAAAGTCCTCCGGGAATGCTGCTCCTTCCCTCCTCTCCGAGAACCCAAAATGCCCAGAAAAGGCAGTCCAGGGAACCAGAACGTTAACTCTTTCGCTCACACAGTTTTACGTGATGTTAAGATGTGGAATACCGACAACAAAAAACATCACACAACCTTAACAACTGTTCAACTTTTGGCTTTCCTCTCAAGGGTGGGGTTTCCGCTCTGCCCCCAAAGGCTTTTGGATGCAAGTTGTGTCACAGTTTCCCCAATGGAGCCAGCGTTGAAAGGAGCCTGGATGTGGCTCTGGCCACGGCTCCTTCTTGCTGACAAGTGCAGGGCAGTGCCCAAAACATGAGGGGTTTGGGCCCACTATCCTGCTGCGCAGAACGTCCTGAGCTGGGGACAGCAGCAGTGCCAGCAGGCTTCCAAGTCCTCCCCAGCTCTGTCACAGTCTCCTCTGTGACATCACAAAGCCGGCATGACATCAGTCTTGGCACAGTCACGCTGGCAGCCTCCCCCAGCTCAGATACGCAGGGCAGCCGCTCTGTACTGGTGGTTACCTCTGGAGCTCCGCTCAAGGTAGCAGCCACTTTGTGTGTTGGATTGTTCCTTGGGAGAGAACAGGATGAAACTCACCCTGACTCCCACCCTGATTGTGGCTCTGGCCATAGTTTCATTTATCTGGGATGGCTTTGGCCGTTCCAGCTCTCTTGGCTGTGCCTGGGACACGTACAAAAAGCTGGTCCTTCCTGAGGAGCAGCTGACCGTTGACACCCAGTGCCAGGCCTCCAGCTGGCCCTGTTGGCGTGGCCTTTGGCCCTGCCACGGATGGGGCAGCTTCATGTTCGGAAGAGCGATCTTTACAGAGGACCAGAAGCAGCAGCCCCTGGGCACGGAGCAGAAGGCCTTTGTGGGGCCCTTCTGGTCGGGACTTTCAATGTACCGCATTCAGATCTGGGAAAGGGTCATCAACATGGTCCTTCCCGAGAAGAAGCAGCAGCCTGTAATCGCTGCTGAACAGGCTTCGAATGGGCCCTGTTGGCTAGGCCTTTCTTCCTGCCCCACATGGCTGCAATATGGGGTCAGCAGGGCTGGCGGAACGCAGAGCCCGAAGCAGCAGCCCCTGCGCATGGAGCAGAAGGCTTTCAAGGGGCCCTTCCAGCCTGGCCTTTCAACGTACCCAACGTGGATCTGGGAAAGGGTCAAGAAGATGGTCCTTCCTGAGGAGCAGCTGCCAGTCGTCCCCGAGCACCAGCACTCCAGCTGCCCCTGTAGGCTTGGTGTGTTCCCCTGCCTCACGTGGATCCGCTCCAGGGTCAGCAAGGCTGGCGTAACGCAGGGCCCGAAGCAGCAGACCTTGTACACCAAGCTGAAGGCCCTCAGCTTGCCCTACCCTCCGGGCCTCCTTTGGGACTACCTGGCCCAAGCGGGGAAAACCTGGCTCGTTACTCACTGCCTGACAGATGTCTGCATTCTCTGCCTGCTGAGCATTGCCCGCAGCCTCTGGAGAAAAGTAAGAAGACCTCAGGAACAGGTGAGCGATTGAGGTGCACTGCACGGGAAGGGGGCTGCTGGTGGGAGCAGGGAGCCACACAGACCTGGTCCGTGAAGGCTTCCAAGGAAAGCAGACCCCAGAAAGTCCACTACCTCCCCCAGAGGGACTCGCTCATTCGCAGATCTGTCAACCCTATGTAACTGGGAGCCCCTATGCAACGTGGGGCTTGGAGGTGCTGTGAGCCCCATGTGCTGCACTGAGCGGTCCTGTGAGGCTGGCCTACCTCCAGAGGAAGCCGAGCCCTGCACGATAATTCCCTGCCAAAGGAGCCTGCTTCCCTTTCTCTCTGCTCATGCTGTGTTCACTTCCAGGGAACGGGACAAATGGACTCAGCTTCCACGGGAACAGACATCTCGCAAGGGGAAGCCACGCATTATTACGACGAGCTCTGTGAGATGAAGTCCCTGCTTCTCTTAATGGACAGATACGTGATGATCCTCCAGGAGAAGAGCAACTGCCAGTGCCAAACGAAGAAGGAGCAATGAGCAAGGAAGCTGAGATGCTCCTCATCCACTTCCAGCTCGTTTGCCACTTCACACAGCGCACCAGCTGCTTCCGTAAGGCACTACCTGGAAAACTTCAAGGGGCTTTAAAATCAACAATGTGATGAACAAATGATTGGAATACGTCTGTTACTTGCCATCTTATGTCATTCATACAGATGTATAAATAAAGTGAGATTGCATAAAATTTCTGAGGAGAATGTATGTCAGGTGTAACTAACTGCAGGACTCTACTGCCTGCCAAGTTCTTTCAGCATATATTGATTTCCTTGTGAGCTTAATGCAACCAGACTTGAACACACAAATTCTGCAGCTTATTCTTCACCAGTACTTCTGCTCCCAGCTCGATGCAGCGTGCTCTCTTGTGAGAACTGCAGATGCACAGTGTTTGCATACCGTTGTACAGGCGCCTACTTGTACAGCAAGCCTACACACGCTCCTTTTCCAGCAGAAGTTCCTAGTCCTGAGCAGGAGTCTGCCAGATCCCGAACTCTTGCATGACTTGCTGAGCACTGTCCTCAATGGGTTGGGTTGTGTTTTTCTTCACTCCACACGTTTCAAAAGCCGAGGAGCAGGGAAATTTTACTGCTGCTGAAAAGCAGAACCTATCCAGAAGCGCAGTGCCACGAAAGCCAGGGACCGAGTTTGCTCGCGTGGTTGCTTCTCCCCTCGTTCGCACTCCGCCATCCCCGGCACGAGCACAGCGCCGTTCGGTGAACGCCGGGCTTTGCGGGGGGGCGGGCGGGCTCGGCCCTTCGCTATGGGGGGCTGACGAGCGCCGCCTGCGGGGCGAGAGCTGAGGTAGCGGCCCTACCTGAGGCGGCGGCCACGGCCGACCGCTGCGGCCTCGCGCGCGCTGTGCGGCAAGAGGCGACACCTGGCGCTCAGTCTGAGATTTAAGGCCGGAGGAAGCCTGCATCCGACCAAATGAAAACTTGACGCTGTTTCTTGGAGCTGCGCTGATTTCTTTTGCTTACACCTGTTTCCACATTGTAAGAGATCATACTGTTAACGTCTGTGTCTCAAATCTTGCTGGGGACACAGATGGACTTGTTCAAGTCCCGGCAAGTCCCGAACAAGGAGTGTGAAATCCTTTGTCTCGGGGATGCAGATAAACAAGGCCAGGGGCAACCAGAGCAAGATGAGCTGCAGCTCAATAGCTGAGAAGTGCTCCTCTGTGTGGACCTGTCTCAGGATGGTGGCCATCTCAGGGGGTGCTCAATGACTCTTGCTCAAGGCCCATCCTTGTCACATAGGCAGGCGAACAAGGAGGATAAAAGGGGAATCGAAAACCATGAGGACAGGTTTCTGGCAACAGATTCCTCGTGAAGCAGAACAGAGGGATTCCTGACGATCAGATTCCTCGTGAGGTGACTCCTGCATGCTGTCGGACTCTCCTGTGCCTGATGCCTGAGCGCTGCTGCTTCCTCAAGGCTTGGCTCCGTGACTTCCTCCACTGCCTGCTTGCTGCCCAAGGCCGGCCACGCTGCTGCTCCTCGCCCCCCCGCTGTGTCTTCCTTGGACCTTCAAATGCCGTGCAGCAGGACGCTGCTGGATCCTGCTGGTGACCCTCCCTGCTTTACGCAACTCCTTCTTTTCCATCTTTTCTATCGCCCTCCTTCCCTTCCCTGTCTCCCTGATTAGGTTTTGTAATAAACTGGTCGGAACATCATATGAACCGTTGTTTCTTAATCTCCGGGTATACAGATATTAAAAGAACCCCATCTCCCTCCTATAAATTGGAGCCAGACACACGTTCAAAAGTGAAACTCAGAAGACTGCTAACCAGCGGGGCAGGTTGCTAGAATTACTGACACTTTTGTATGAAGAAATAAACTTATTTCTGTAACTGAAGGGAAAAGATTAATTTTTTTTAGTATTTTTATACTGTTTCTAGCTTGTAACCTCTAAGCTTAAGCTTGCCAATGTGACTAGTGATCATTACAGAGTTACATCATACA